TCACTCCACACAGCCTGTTGTTCAGTCATTTGGTTGTCCCTCACTAACCCCCCTGCCGACCTGGTCGCTCCATGCAGCCTGCTGTTTGGTCGTTACTGTGATGGCATCCTGGACAATTTTTATATTCCTCTATTATTAGTATAGATAGCCCAGTGGACTGGAGGACCAGCTCTTTCTGGCGTCTTGGAGATCTCAGAGCATGAGACTTTCTTGAGAATACTGTTTATGTCTCTATAACTTATGTTTTCTTATGCTGTTATCTGGGTGGCTATGCTGAAGTAATATCGTAGGAGTGAACACAGTGCTTCCTTTCCGGAATCCCAGTCAGTCATATTTTGTAGTGACTAGATATTTTGGAATTGGTAAAACTTGGTTCATTTAAGTTTTGACATTTGGAATTATAACATTTTTGATAATTTCTTTTGTAGCAATAAAGCACCTTTTCTTGTGATCTAAGACAGGATTCTTGGAAAATTATTTTCATGTTCCTGTTCATGCCTTGGGGAGTCATCATAGGGATTGTCTGCAGCACTAAAGTGCAGTGGGACCCCACAGGTATATTTAGATAAAGGAGACCTGGCCTCTGACTGCCTTGGACTTCTACTCCTTTTGGAATTCTAGTGTTTTTCTCAGAGGCAGGTTATGATAGTGGAAGCTCATGCATGTTGAAATAAACAGGAAAAATAGAGCAGTCTATCAGGTGCAAATGTAACTGTAAATCATAAGCATAGTACCTGGCACATGTTCTTTTCCCTTCCTTTTAATCTCTTCCTTAACTGATTGGAAAATAGATTGTCACACTGGTTGTAACTGTGAATAAAAATAAAGCTTAACATGTGCTAACCGCTGGCCTGACTCGTAGTCCTTTGAGAGTTATAAGTGAACTTCAGTTTCTGAAATTTCGTGGTAATTTAAAGGGTGTGGAAGTGTGTGTGTGTGTGTGTGTGTGTCCTTCTCCATTCCTAGCCACCGGCAGGTGGTGGAGCTCACCAAGATAGAGCTAGGGTTGAATCCTTCCTGCTGAATTCCTTTGCTGCAAGAACCAAGTACAATGAATCACTTAAACAAGACACTCATTGTCTCAGAGTTCTGGAGACCAGAAGTCCATGGCCCAGGTGTCCGTGGGGTTGCTTCCTTCCCAGGACTGTGAGAAAGGATCTGCTCCACGCCCCACTCTGATTTCCCAGTGCTGTGCTGGCAATCCCCAGCATTCCCCGGTGCCTATTGCATGGCCCTGAACTGTCTTCATCTTCCTGTGGCATTATCTTGCTCTGCCAGCCACCACTATTTCTCTGCTGACTCCGATCTCCTTCCTCTTTTTAGCATTTACACAGGCTTACTTCCCTTTATTTTAACAACAGATCC